AGGGGCGTGTTTGTTTTGGTGATTTCAAATATCAACACTGGCTACCAGAAATCACTTACTCTGCCTTTAAGTAGCAATACCTTTACTTAAGTAACATTTTTTAGTACTCTTTCCACCACTGTTTTTAGGTGAACTATCCCTTTAAGAAATAGTTAACTCAAAAAAAAAAAAAAAAAGAAAAATGGTCAAGAAATTTAAGCTAATTGCTAATACAACATTTCTCAATTTTGTTTAGTTCAACTTGATAATAACTAACATTAAAACTGAAATAAAAAATAATTGAAACTGTATAGACATTTAAAAAAAATTATCTGACGAAACTGACAAAAACAATGCATTTACAAAAATTGAAACTAAAAATGGAAATGGAAAATATAAAAATAAAAACTAATTAAAAATATATGTATGTATAAAAAAAAAAAGAAAAATATGGTCAAGAAAAACTTGTACTCTAATAAGTTCCATTTAAACAAATGTGACTCTCACAGATGGTTTGAATGCCATGCCACATAGATACTATCATTACTTACATCACTCCTGGTGTCTGGTGACGGGTCCTGAGGATTGAGACATGCATGGGTCACCTTAATCACATGCTCTAGCTTGCGGGGCTGTTCTTCCACTTTAGCGGCTAAAAAGAGAGCTGCAGGAGCAATCACCTGTGCAGCACATGACAGAAGCAGAGGTTAGAGTCCCGTCCAATGCAGCCAGCTGTTTTTAATGGTGCTTTTATAAAAAGCTTGTGGAAGAATAAAGCACATACATTCCGGTGGAAGCGAGTGAAGGACTGGATCATGTAGAACCGATGCATATACACAATGGCAGTGTTAATTGTAAGTTGAGACCTAATAGCTCAAAGTTAAGGATTGTAACACATTAAAAGCATTTAAGAAAAACAGCACAACTGCTCAACTCAACAACCTCAGTATTTCAAAAGGATCATAACTAGTATTGATATTTAGGAGAGCATGTCCAGCCAAAATTTCTTGAGCAATATGCTGGGCTTGTCAATCACAGATTCATATTTTCATTAAATTCTTGTATTGTAATTCATTAGAGGTACTATCATTTAATTTTAGACACATTAGCACATGTTCCTACCAAAGGAAAAACAATTCAACTACTTTCCTTTAATCTATGGAACATTATTAACCTAAAATAAAACCGAATAATTCATATTCTCCTTCCTATTACTAACGTTATATATTCTATTACGGTATTAGAACTTCTCTCAAGCAGGGCAAGTCAAGATATGTTTAAATAATACTAACGGATATATGTTTGGAATGGCATAAATATCATATAAATCTAACACTAAAGTGTAAACAAATGGTATAATGAAGAAAATTGCGGAAAATGGAGAGTGGGAATGGCAGTGACACCGGCTGCGCTATTGTTCAGTAGGAAAGACACCTCCAGCTAGGCCCTACGGCCTTAACTAAACCAAAAAAAAAAAACACAAAACGGGGACATAAATCTTTTATTCCGTTCGCCTTAATCCACAAGTTTCACAATACAACAGGCGTGTTTACTGGTAGAGCTGTTTCAGGTCATTATAATGCTGAAACACAACACCACACAAGCCGCCCGAACCGGCGTCAGTCTCCTCTGAGCAGCTGCCGAGAGCGACGCCTCACAAACTGAAAAAGATACACGTTGAGCCGCTGTCCCATGTCCTGCAGCAGGTTAGCAGCTTGCTGTCGGTACGAGAGCTCTTTGTCGGGATCAAGTCCCGCTCGGCGAGATGGGCTGTTTTCGATTTGTTCGCGCGTGAAGTACCATTTATTGTTATTTAGCGAAAGCGAAGGGAACGAAGCCGCCATTACTGAGAAGGACAATGTTTTAAAATCTCCTTGCGTCACAGGAAGCGCGTCATCGCCGGCTGGAATGCGACTGCGGTATCGTTTGACCTTAACCCGTTCAGAACTGAATTGTGTTACACGGACACAAAATTATCTTTATTTCCACTCCAAATGCATCCATAAATTACAATTAATCATTGTTGTTGTCAAATAATTGTTTTTAAATGCCCATTACAACACTAGAGATACCAAGATATAAGGATATGATATTTCAAGAAATGTAAATTATACATAAATACACAAATTATACATGAATGCAACATCATTTTAGATTCAGGTTGGTTTTAACAAATTAAGTGCTTTTCTTAAAAACAACAACAACAACAACAACAACAACAAAAAACAGATGATTAACAAACAACCGAGCACACAACTTTAAAACAAATTAAATATTAAAAAATAGAATATCAAACACAAAAAAGTCATTCACAAAAATAATTTTTTCATCTTTTTTTATTAACCAAAAATATTATAAGACAGCATTCAATTTACAATCAACTTATTCAACATTATAAAAGCAGCATGGACACCAAAGTCCCTTTAAGACTAGTCTTTTCTAGTTTTAGCTGGTTTTAAGCTTTTAAAAACTAGTAAATTGTAAAATAATAAAATAAAATGAAACAAAATAATAAATAAATAAATCATAAAAATATCAGCACAGTCTAAAAAGAATGAATTATAACTTTCCAAACACACACACACGCACACACATCATACATATCATTGAATACAAAATTAGTACGAATAGAAATATTATAATAAATTACATTATAAATTCTATTTACAATAAATTATATTTTTTCAACTAAATCCAACAATATCCCAGCTTTTTATTCTACATCTCTGATAGGGCGTTTGGATATTGTATCAGATATATTGAAATATATACAAATATATCAGCTGTATTTAAATTTTCTTTGACATTTAATTGTACCATTTGCTGTAACTGTTTATGTGTGATAATCATACATTCTTGCCGTTTAAAGTTTGTAAGTAGGTTGAGTATCACCATGTCGACCAGCCTTGTTATAAATACAGGTTTCCATGTGACTTTTATTTTGAATTTTCCATTGCTACACATCTTCTTTCATTTATTTGTCGCAATTTTGTTCCTTTTAACCCGATGCGGGAATTTAAAACATTCTATTTGTATTTCAAACCCACTCTTAAAATTTAGTATAAGTAATAATAATGAATATGAAACAACAATAACCTGCACTTCAGCATCAACTAATGTCGCCATGCATTGGTGAACTTAGAGAGAAAGACCGTGACGAATGCGGAAGTGTTTATGTTGTGTGTGTGTGGTTTAGCTGCTAATACAGTGGCGTGCAGTCTAATAAAATGACCGAGTCCAAAGCTAAGAATATCAGCGCCATTCCAATCGATGGATTCAGCAATGTTCGCATCACATCATTATGGAGCTTTCTACAGTCTGTAAGTTTACAGCAACATTACATTCTCTTTTTATTGTTCACATAAAGCTAATCCAGAGTTTCTTGGGTATTTTTCAGTACAACCGAGGCCACGTGGATTAAGTGAAGAAAACGTATTTTTTGTACCTAGGAAGAACTAGTAATAATCTTGTGATCTGGTTTCCAGGTTGACTGGTCTGAATCCTGGCTGATGGGTCTGCTAGCCTTTCATGTCTTGTGTTTTGCTTTCACCATTCTGTCCTGCAAATGCTACCGTCTACAGATCTGTCATTTTCTCTTGATGGGTGAGTTTTTGCATTAAAAAAATGCTATCAGGGTAAATGTATAAAATTATAATGGAAAAACAAAGCATTAATTTTCTTAGAAGATTACATTATAACAAACACAATGTGTTTTCTGAATTGTGAAGGCATTTTAATGTATATCATTTATATTTAATTATAGTAAACATGTTAATTATAGATTTACCAGATGACATAGTATTTCATCTTTTGCAGTTGCAATGGTTTACAGTGCAGAATACCTGAACGAGCTGGCAGCAATGAATTGGAGGTGATTATATCCCCACCATAACCCCCTGTTATGATTGTATGTTTATTTTGTTGTTATACTTAATGTGACTGCATTTTGTTTTTAGGTCTTTTTCAAAGTTCCAATACTTTGATTCGAAAGGAATGTTCATATCACTAGTATACTCAGTCCCGCTCATGCTCAACACTGTTATTATTGTGGTAAGTTTTTCCTTTTTAGAATAGTCTTCTTTATATATAATACTAAAATATGCATTTCATCTGATTAATTTTACAGTATGTTAAGATTTCGCCTTTGATTTAAACTCAGTCTTTGTGTTTTAGGCTGTGTGGGTGTGGAGGACCTTCTCAACCATGACAGAATTGAAGATACTGCAGTTAAAAAGAAAAGCAGCCAGAGAGAACAAGAAAATGCAATAGAAGACGTGAACCGGATGTGCTCCATTTCATAATGTGCAGTGGTGGAGGGCAGATATAGTTAAAGAAAAGACTGTTTAGCATGGGGTGATCATTAGAAAATGTGGTGTGAAGGTTCTTAAGTGTTATTTCAGATTGCTGATAGACGATTACTCCAACTGCTAGCAGATACTCCATGGAACATGTGATTTGATCAAATCACAATTTTATCGAATCTGTTGGAAAAAGCCATCAACTGTATTATGCAACTGCTTTGTGTACATATTGACCATTCCAGAGCTCAATATTGCTTATTTGTCTGTTGTTAACATTGAATGGATAAAACCCTGTTTTTGAGTGTCGAACATGTAAATTGTGTATTTATGCCAAAAAATTGAATGTTGTTTTTTTAAATTTTTTTTATAGATATCATTGTGAATTTATTTCAATGTTACATCAAAGACTGAGATGCACAACTCCATAAGTCTAAGAACACATTGAAAATTCATTCATTTAAACCTTCAAATAAACAAAGTTTTGGGATTTTTATTTTGTTTAATTATATGTAAATGTAATATGAAGATTAAAGGAATAGTTAACCCAAAAATTAATCTTTGCTAAAAATCTACTCACCCTCACTTTCCAAGATGTAGATGACTTTGAACAGATAGATATGAACAGATATGAAGAAATTTAGCATTATATCACTTGCTCAGCAATGGATCCTCTGCAGTGAATGGGTGCCGCCAGAATGAGAGTCCAAACAGCTGATAAAAACATCACAGTAATCCACATGACTCCAGTCCATCAATTAACATCTTGTGCTAAATTGCTTGTTTGTAAGAAACAAGTTCATCATTAATGCGTTTTAACTTCAAGCCATTGCTTTCAGCTAAAATACAAGTCCATAATCCATAATAATGCTTTCTCCAGTGAAAAAGTCCATCTCCTGTTGTCCTCTCACATCAAACCCCACCGACATATTGTTTTAATTTATGAAGAGTGCTTGATCTGTGCACATTTCTCTCCTGATTCAGAATAGACAAATATTTTTTTTATTTTATTTTTTTTACTGGAGGTAACATTATGGATAGAGGACTCATTTTAACCAGAAGCATCAGTTTGAAGTTAAAAACGTCTTAATGATTGATTTGTTTCTTACAAACACGCAGCTTTTCTCTTTACAAGATGTTAATTGATGGATTGGAGTTGAGTGTGTTACTTGTGAGTGATGTTTTTATCAGTTGTTTGGACTCTCATTCTGACGGCACCCATTCACTGCAGAGGATTCATTGGTGAGCAAGTGATCGAATGCTACTTTTCTCCAAATCTGTTCCAATGAAGAAACAAACTCATCTCCATCTTGCAAAGCCTGAGGATGCGTACATTTTCAACAAATTTTAATTTGTCAACTATTCCTTTAATATTTTAATGTTAATATTTATACATTAAAATAGTTAACTTTCACACAAATTATTATGCAGATAATATTATTTGCAATGAAAAAAAAAAAGTATTAAATTAGTAAAAAGGAAAAGAGAAGATTTTTTTAAACAAAATATCTTCCTTTAACCAGTAGAGGGGGCAATACACCAATTCCCCAGGGTTTCGTGTAGTCCATAAATGTTGCAGTGCACCCAATATGTTCAGAGTCACATGCATGCGTGCATAAGTGGACTATTATAAGCAGCTTTGAAGAGCTCAGGATTATACAATTCATTGAGGTGATGCTCAAAATGCAAAGCTAATCATTATGAAAATCATCTGGCCTCCAGAAGATTTAGATTTTTTGATGTGCAATGATGGTAATTTAGATTGTGACTATCAGGTGTCATGCTTCACTTACGCACTCTTGAGATCTCAACCTAAAACCAACAGTGGCAAAACTTCAAAGTCTCTACCGTCCCCCCGAGTCCATAAAATGAAATCATATTTCACAGGATTACTGACTTTTCATTCTTTATTATTCACTCCCTTTTTGTCTCTCTACGGGAAAGTGAAAGGAGCCGAAATCCAGCTGTGGATTCCAAAATGTATTCTGTTTCATATCGGTGTGATGTTACATGATATTTTTTTCTGGAAAGTTGTAATGCTAACAATCCTCCTCAAGGGTCTTGAGAGTTGAGACTGAATGTTCATATGTTTCAATGTGAGTTAGCTGTGGTGAAGCCAGGCTTTGGCCCAGCATTTCTGTTCTATGTGAGTTTTCATTTGGTCTTCATGCCAATTCTATAGCCAAACCACGAGAACCATGTTACACAGGAACCATCTGAAACAGGTGCTTTGTGCTGTCTTGGAAAGCATTCTGCTTTCTGGGGAGTGCTGAGATGTCAAAGGCCTGTTTTCTGTGCACTTAAGAGGATGATAAATGAGTTTTAGGATGTCCGAGGATTTGTGGTTTTCTGACACAAGTGAAACCTCCTGTTGCTGTGTTTAGAACATCCTTTCATTTCAATACCTTCATGGTACGAAAATGAGCCAAAACTATTAAATCAACAAGATATTAGTCTTAACCATCATTGAAGAGATATATTTACCAGAAAACGAGAGAAAAAAACATTAAGTCTCCTAAACAATAAAAGTCTGACAAAAAAAAAGTGTATAATAACATTTAGGTGTAATGTATATTTATGTTCTATTGTAATGTACAACCATTATCGTATGCTTCATTCAAACATGGTGATGATACTAAATCTTCTTTCTCCGCAGCTGTGGATTACTCTGTTTTAAAGGGTCTCACATGCAGCATCTGCAAACTATCCAACTACAAACTCCTGGCCCTCACCATCGCCAAGAAGGCAAGTTAAAACTACAAAAGAAAGAATAAATATTCTCACTTTCCACTTTCATCTTTCCTTCAACTTCACGCTTTTTCTCAGCCTCCCCAGGATGACAAAAAAAAGTTCAAATCCTGGATAAATTGTGTAACATTAATGCCACATTCAGTGCCACATGCTCACTGGTGGATCAGGAACATTTAAGTTAAAAAGTGTTCACCTGTAATACTTTATTAGATGGCAAGTTTTGTGGTTCTGTTCATATCCAGTTCATAACTTTTAGCTAATGAAGGGTTTCCCAACCTTTTTTTTTTTGTCAGCTTTTAACCTAAAATATTTACTTGAAGCACCCCAACACATTCACATGTTCACGCTTAATGACGGTTATTGGTCACATGACATGCAGGTAAGCAAATATATAATTTCATCTTTTTTATTAGTTGTTTTAATTTAAAAATTACTTATACATTTTATTTCATACTTTTTATTCTTTAATTAATTAGCTTTTCATGAACTCACAAACCCCAGTGTGGTAAACGCTATCCTAATGTATAGCCTAAGCCAGCTCAACCTATTTTTCTGGTCTTATGGTCTATCTGACCCCGACCAGCTCAAAAGTGCCCAAACCACTATAAAACCAACCAACAGACCACTCTGATCAGGTAGGGAGACTAACTTAGACCAGCAAACCAGCTTAGGTTGGTTTAAAATAGATTTTACATTAGAGAGTGTCTGTCCCTCCCGCTAAAGTGAATAAATATTATTAATATTAAATATTAATAAATAGACTACAAAGAGAGAAAAAATATTCTCACATTCCTCCTTCATTTTCCTTCCATCTCCACACCTTTTCTCAGGGTGACAATGAATGGCTTGCAAATCCTGTGTCATTAAAGTTAATATTTCTATAAATTAACAACACAATCACAGTTTTTCTGATGTCAGTTAATGGTCACATGGCATGCAGGTAAACAAATAAAAAAATATATTTAGCCTTTTATTTATTTTTTATCATAAAACGTATTTATTGTTAATTTTATTCATGAATGTATTCATCTTTATTTATTTAGCAATTAAATTTTTTGTATTTAATTATTAGCCTTTAATCAACTTCTGCATATCCATAAACCAAGCCAGTCTTGCATAATTTGCTGGTCTCTGACCAGCTCAAAAGTGTCCAAACCTCTATAAAACCAGCCAATAAACCAGTCTGACCAGGTACGGAAACTAAGACATGCAAACCAGCTTAAGCTATTTTTCAGCAGAAAATTTCCCTCCTGCTTGTGCCACCTGCCTCAGACTAGTATTAGCAAGTAGCAAATCATGGCTGTGATGTAAACGTGTCACATAAACAACACCCTACTCAGTGTTTTAAAACGGTCAGCACTGGTTAAAATACCTTTCTGGTGAGTGTCTACGAATAAAATTGAGTACAGAGAATTTTACAAATGGTCAGATTCATGTAAATGTTTACAGAAAGAGCAAAAAAAAAAAAAACTGCTTTGTGTACATATTGACCATTCCAGAGCTCAAAATTGCTTATTTGTCTGTTGTTAACATTGAATGGATTGTATAAAACCCTGTTTTTGAGTGTCGAACATGTAAATTATGTATTTATGTCAATAAACTGAATGTTGTTTTTTTATAGATATCATTTTGGTTTTCTTTTAATGTTTTAATGAAATATCTTTCTTTAACCAGTAGAGGGGGCAGTATACCAATTCCCCAGGGTTTAGTGTAGCACAGTCCATAAATGTTGCAGTGCACCCTATATGGTCAGAGTCGCATGCATGCATAATTGGACTATTATAAGCATCTTTGAAGACCTCAGGATTATACAATCCATTGAGGTGATGCTCAAAATGCAAAGCTAATCATTATGAAAATCATCTGGCCTCAAGGTTTTGAATTGTTGATGTGCAATGATGGTGATTTGGATTGCGACTATCGGGTATCACGCTTCACTTGCGCAGTCTTGAGATCTCATCCTGAAACCAACAGTGGCAAAACTTCAAAGTCTCTACCGTCCCCCCGAGTCCATAAAATGAAATCATATTTCACAGGATTACTGACTTTTCATTCTTTATTATTCACTCCCTTTTTGTCTCTCTACGGGAAAGTGAAAGGAGCCGAAATCCAGCTGTGGATTCCAAAATGTATTCTGTTTCATATCGGTGTGATGTTACATGATATTTTTTTCTGGAAAGTTGTAATGCTAACAATCCTCCTCAAGGGTCTTGAGAGTTGAGACTGAATGTTCATATGTTTCAATGTGAGTTAGCTGTGGTGAAGCCAGGCTTTGGCCCAGCATTTCTGTTCTATGTGAGTTTTCATTTGGTCTTCATGCCAATTCTATAGCCAAACCACGAGAACCATGTTACACAGGAACCATCTGAAACAGGTGCTTTGTGCTGTCTTGGAAAGCATTCTGCTTTCTGGGGAGTGCTGAGATGTCAAAGGCCTGTTTTCTGTGCACTTAAGAGGATGATAAATGAGTTTTAGGATGTCCGAGGATTTGTGGTTTTCTGACACAAGTGAAACCTCCTGTTGCTGTGTTTAGAACATCCTTTCATTTCAATACCTTCATGGTACGAAAATGAGCCAAAACTATTAAATCAACAAGATATTAGTCTTA